ACACATTTCCCAAAGGCTGTAAATTAATTTATTATAATTTAATGGAGAGTAAAATCAGCTTATTGTCTCATTAGGCTTTTGTCTTTGAATCTGCTGAGTAGGGAGGGCCCAGCCTTCCATGCTCCTGTCCCACCCATCTGTGCCTCCTTGGGCTCACTAGTTCAGTGGTAATCAGTCTCTCTTGACACATGTGGACATTTTCTAGCAGTATTTTTTTTTCTCAAAAGTTTCATTTTGCATTACACTTCACTGAGTCATGTGGAGAGAGGTTCCCATTTGTGGTGATTATTGTATTCTCACCTTGTCATCAATTCAGTGCTCAAATCTAAAATTAACTGGCAGGTCTTAACCCAGTGGCTTTGAATAGTCAAAAATGTTCTGTTCCGTTAGAATGGTTGGCTCTTCCTATGAAAAGACAGGAAACACCCATTCCCGTTTTAATGAGAGTAGCTTATTCCTTCCTTTGTTCAGTCCCCATGGCCACTGTACCACCACAGATGGGGCGGCTTCGCTGGTTAGTGTTTTCAACTTGACATAAACTGAAAACTAACACCTAAAAAGAGGGGCACTCAGCCGAGAAAATGCCTCTGTAACATCAGGCTATCGGCATGTCTGTGAGGCATTTTATTGATTGACAGCCGATGTGGGAGGGATGAACCAGACCACTGTGGGTGCTGTTACCCCTGGGCAGGTGGTCTAGCATTGTATGCAAGCTGAGGAAACCTTGGGAAGCAAGCCACTAAGTTCCCGACTTGAACTCCTCTCTGGCTTCCCTTGATGACAGACTGCGCTATGGAAGTGTAAGCAAGATAATGTCTTTGTGACATGGAAGTTAAACCAAGTAAACTCCTTGTTCCCTGTGTTACTTTTGGTTAGTGTTTTATTACAACAATAGAAACCAAACTACAACAGTGACTAAGAGCCTTAGAAATATCTTCTTTCATAGCTATGGTGCCCAGAGTCTGAACTCCATCGTGCTGGACCTAAATCCTAAATCCTCTTGGAATGTATTCTCTTTCCACCAGAAGGACCACCATCATGCTTGTGGAGGACAGCTAGGCACAGACATGGCAAGATTCCCACAACAGATCAGAAATCCAGGCAGCACAGAGTGTCCATGGCTACAGAGTTAGCAGGGAACAGGCTGTATGAAGTCGAAACGGGCAGAAAAGGCATTCCTAAATGGTAAGGGCTGGAAATCTCTAGCTGGAGACCTGCAACAGAATAGCACACCCAAATAATTATTAATGAGTTGTGGTTCATGCCCCCGAAGGACTGGGATGATCTCTGCAGCAACTTACTAGAAGAAAAATATCTCTCCAAGGAGCGTATCTAAAGCCATTGCCTTCTCTTACAGAGACAATGAAATCTTCCTTTATATAGGAGAGCCTCCAGGGACTCATGCCACTGTAAGTGTGTAGATCTTTAATAAAAATGACCAAGTGAGGCCACACAAAGGGTTATAATTAGGAAAGAGCGGAAGGTAGGGCTGGACATCTTGATTCAGTTACATACAAGTGTATACCAGCCTCTCAAAGTAGCATGTCCTGGTCTCTGGGACTCGTGAGTGAGTGAGCCCTTTCGTGGCAGACTCTGCAGACACAGTTAATAGTCATGGGGTTAGAAGAGCGGCCTGGGTTATCTAGGTGGGCCTTAAGTGCAGTCTCGTACGTCTTTTCAAGGAGGCAGGAGATTTATATAGACAGACGAGGAAAAGCCTGCTGACCACAGAGGAGGAGGTTGGAGTATTTCGGCCACAGGCCAAGGAATGCTTGTTGCCAGGCAAGTTGAAGGAGGCAAGGAAGACATGACATCTTTGGGGTGGGGGTGGGGGTCAATCTCCGTGCGTTATTTGACTCCACCAAGCGTGGCACATTCAAGATCCCTCTTCATCCCTTTTTATGTAGATGACTCTTTGATCCTCAGGCACCAGTCATGACCCCCAGCTCTCTGGCTCCATGCTTAGGAAAGCAGCTTGTTAGTTGATCTTCATGGGGTCTCTAGTCAGGAACTGATCGAATGAAAAAAAAAAAAACAAAAACCAAAGCAACTTCCTTTTTCTCCCATCCTACCCTCTACCTCCTAGTGTCTTGTATCTTTCTGTATGACAGAATAAATCTGACACCAGGGTGGGACTGGAATACTGCCTCACGGCCACTGGGCGTGGTATAGGTATATGAGTTTATGCACATGCGTTGCCTATTCATGCACACGCCCATGCATTCGTATGTGGAGGTCAGAGGTGGATGTTGGTTGTCATCCTCTCCTGTTCACCATCTTCTCCTTTAAGGCAGGGGTTCTCTCTGAACCTGGGATCACCCGTTGGCTAGCCTAACTGGCCAGTGTCTGGCATCCGCATGCCTCTGTCCCCACAACACAAGGTTTATGACTACGTTGTCACCACCATTCCTGGCCACTTTCATGTGGAACAGCGAGTACTTCTCACCCACTGAGACATCTCCCCAGCCCCAATACCGCCTTTCTCTAAATCATAACCCACGATAAACACGGCTGTGGGATGAGCTCTTCCTCAGAATCACTGCAAATCCATACACGTTCTGGTTGATACTGAGTGTCCTGGCCAGGCCGGACACGAAGAGGCATCTGTTTGCTCTGGTTATACTTTTTTAGCTGACGCTCCCCATTACCCGGCTTCTGGAGTTGCAGAGCATGTCTTGCGAATTTCTTTGTAGCCTTGAATCTCAGGGGTCTGCCGTGTGGGTGCAGCCCTCTGGAGCCGAACAGAACCAGGTACGAGGCTCGGCTTCCCCGCTTTCAGAGCCTCATCTTTTCTTTTTCCAAGTCTGTCGAATGCTTGTGTTGATCTTCATAAAAGGGAATGACGCTTTCTTTCTAAAGCTGATTTTCAAAAATAAAAATGATTTAACGTATTTAGCTTTGTTATAGGATAATTACAAGAAGTACAAAGAGTTTACATGTTCCGTTCCTCCGTATTCCCATATTCTCATTAGTGTTTGACAAGACTAACTCTCGTCTTTTTTCACATACTTGTCTTTGCAGAGGGTTCATTTCTAAAATTAAGGCAATCTAATATAATCACAGTATAATTTTCAAATTCATAATTTTAACATTGCTACAATGTCAATATGCAATTTATATGTCATATTAAACTTTCCCAAATTGTTCCAAAAAAAATGTCTTTAGTAGGAAAGGGGAAATTATCTACAACATAAAACAGCATTTAGTTGTCATGTGGCTTTAGTATCCTTTAATTTGAAACCACTCCTTAGTTATCAACCTAGTATCTCTTGTGACCTTGCCAATAAAATAACGTATGATATTTATTTTGTGTGTTTGTGAATGTATGTGTGTGTACGAGTGTGTATGCATGAATGTACATGACAAGATGTGTGTGTGTGTGTGTGTGTGTGTGTGTGTGTGTGTGTGTGTGTGTGTGTGGACAACTTGTGGGAGTTAGTTTTCTCCTTCTACCTCGTGGGTTCTGGGGGTGGAACTCAGATCATGAGGCCTGGTGACACAGTACCTTAACCAGATGGGCCATTTTGCCAGCTGAACTTGGCCATTTTTTAAAAGAATACAGGACAGTTCTCAGCAGTGTTCATCATGGTGATTCAGCTTGTCAGTTCTGTGCATGGATTTAGGTTGTGCATCCTGAGGTTAGATTCAGGCTCTGTATTCTGGGCAGGAACACCAGGAAACTGATGGATTCTCAGTGCTTCCTGCCAGTCCACCTTGATGCTCACTTTGTCCTAGGTTTAAGACTGGTTTTCATGTTCGTCATGCCATTCTTCTCCCTGAGTTTTAGTTTCCTCCCCTTTCAAGGCACGATCTGCTCTTGTGACTAGTAAGTGTCCCATGAAGACATGCTTTGTAGACATTTTTGTGTCCTGTATGTCAACACTCTTTAGACCATTGGTTTTAACAACCATTTTAGAATTCTTACTGGAATCATTATGGCTGTTAGTTACCAAATGATAGTTTTTCTTATTTAAGTTCTTCTGGTGCATTTTTTAGTTGAGATTCCACACCAATGGCTTTCTTAACATTGTGATGACCCCTCCTGTTTGGGGAAAAATAGCTGGACAAATCTAAAGTGACAGGAAATGAAAGCTCACCCTTCCTCCCTTCCTCTTCTCCAGGGCCCAGGTACTCAGCTGAGTGGTTTATCTGTACACCCTTCATACAGTGGAAATATACAGTTATCCAAAGTTGTTTTTAGGCAATTTTGGTTTTAGTGACAAGAAGCTTAAGTTTCTTGTTCCTGCAGGTGTACCTCAGAATTCAACACACACACACACACACACACACACACACACACACATCACACGACATAAAAGGGGGGACTTACGAGAACTATAAGGCACCAATGAGAAATACAAAATGTGCAATATGGCATTCTAAGGAATCAGATGGTGCAGCCATTTGTATGTTTGTGGGTTTTTGTGTGTTTGTTTTGTCTTGTCTTTGTTTTTGCTCTTAGTTTCATTTTTACCAGACTGATAGAGAAATTTGGACACTGGCTACATATTTGCTGATAGGAACTAGTTATTTTTAATCCTGATACTGTGGTATGTTTTTGAAAGTCACAATTTGTGAGTACTTCCTGAAGTATTAATGGATGAGATTGTGTAATGTCTAGGATTTGATCACAAATAGAGGAAAGTGGGCAGCATGATACACAAAACAAGACCTGTTATATGAGCCAATAATGGCTGAAGATGTCCCTTCTGTAAAGAAGGTTTGGTATACCTTTCCATAAGAAAAGCACTCCAGGATGATGGCCATCTCAGAGTCACTGTGCTTCTCTTTCATGGCTAGATCAGGTATGAAATAGAATCTCCCAGTTGCGAAAGGAAGTAACCACATTTGTAATGTTTTTTTCATTATACAAATATATGAAATAATTTGAGCATGAATATAGTAATCCCTGCAAAGAACATGTCTACTCCATGTAGAATGTGGGTTAATCCTTGTATTATCCCGGAAGCTTGGTCCTAACTGTTCATCCTTCCGTCCAGGTCAGTGAAGGGCTGATACTGTACCAGCACATGGATCTTGAGAACACAGGGTGGGCCTCAGAAGACTCCTTCACATTCACGGCTTTCTCCCCTCCTGCAGCCCTGGGCCCTGAGGACTTCCGGATTACCATTTCATATGAAACAAATGAGTCAGGCCGACAAAGCCAGCTGCTTGCCAATACAGGTACTGCCACCAAGCTATGGCCAGTGCTGTGTCTAAAGTAGAAGAGAGAAAACGTGGAAATGAGTCTTCCCCCTTGTGTCCAGGCCACAATATCATCCTCTGGAATAAACACAGTTACAGCCAGTGGTTGTTACTCTACATGCCCTCGTGTGTTTCCTGTCATGAGCTTAATGGTGAGGCATGGTGGTTTAGCTTTAAAGAATCTCTTTATACCTCCAAATGGGAGCCTTATCATGCCCGTGACTGAAAGGAATTGATAGAAATGAAAATAATGAATGGAAAGAATTATTAAAAGCTATGCCTGTTTCAATATCAGGAGAGATTCAGCCAGAGGTAAGTTAGCAAAAGTGGATGTAGGGTCTTAAAGCTTGCTTGCCTGAAATGTTGGCTTAATGGTTGTTGGCAGGTAATTCCCAATCACTCTCCTCCCCACTTCCTCCCTGTGTCTTTCCTGTGCTCCAGCCATTTCCCTTCTTTCCTCAGTTTACTTCCCACATGTGTGTTACCCTCTTCTCTTCCCATCACCCTTCAGGTGATCACTTTTGTACTGTTATGCCCTCCAACACACATAAACACATACACACACACACACACACACACACACACACACACACCCCTCAGTTTTTTGAGTAAGAAACCATGACATTTGTCTCTCTGAGTTTCACTAACTTAACCTAAGAAAATCATCTCCGGTTGCATTCATTTTCCCCAAAATGTCATTATTCCTTTTTTTCTTTACGACAGTGTCAGAGTCCACTGTATGTACGCACCACATTTTCTTTACCATTGATCCATTGATGGACATCTAGCCTGATCTTACTTCCTATCTACTAAATATAGATGTTCAGGTATCCTTGCGAGTGCTAAGAGTTTTTTGAGTATACAACCGGGAGTGGATAGCTGGGTTATATGAGAATTCTATTTTCAGCTTTTTGAGCTTTTTTGCATTGGTTTTCATAAGGATGTGTTTACATTTAAATTTTACTTTTGTGTGATAATTCAGGTGCTTGAGTAACCTATGTGTTTAGAATAATCCACTGAGATACTTGGGAGTGAAAGCTTTATGACCTTCATTAAATGTCTGATCAAATGTCTGTTATTTAACTGTTTTAATAGGAGCCTTTGTCAAAGAGGGAGATAAAGTTCTCATTGACCAATCTAAGCTAGATGCTTCCAACCTCTTGCTTCAACTGCCCCAGCCTCAGCGTTCTGCCCATGAAATCTGGTTCCAGGTCACAGTGCTTCCTCGCCATGGAACCATTATGGTGGGAGAAAGAAACCTTACCACAGGAAAACCCTACTTCTCCCAGCATGTAGTTAATGCATTTGGAGTCACTTATCTTCACGATGACTCTGAATCACTAGTGGACAGTTTTACCTTTGCTGTTTGGCCAAACCCAAAGAGCAAGTCCACCAGTAAGCCGGAGGCCAACTTTCTGGAAGAGATGTTCAACATCACCATCACCCCTGTGAATGATCAGCCTCCAGAATTAAAGACCAGAGGGCTTCGGCTGACAGTTCTGCAGGGCAGTAGGTTGGTGGTGGGACCTGAAATTCTCAACGTAGAAGATCCAGACAGTCCTTCACACGAAATCCAATATGTGGTCATCCGTCCACCCAACAATGGCTTCTTAGCAATGGCTCATGATCCACGCACCGCCGCTCACCACTTCACACAAGCCGACATCAACAACGCTCAGGTGTGGTTCACACAGGACGGCAGCCCATCCTCTGGAGCGTTTTATTTTAGTGTGACTGATGGTGATCACCGCCCTCTCTATAAGCTTTTCCATCTGGATGTCATCCCCATCTCCATCACTCTTGCGAACCTCACAGACCTGCTTCTCCCACAGGGCCAGACAACTGTCCCCATCACCAGTGCCCAGCTTTCAGCAGTGACCAATAGTAGGAGCCGTCAGATCACCTACAGGATGACACAACCCCTCCAAAATGGCCACTTGCTGCTGGAAAACCAGCTGGTCACGAGCTTTGGACAGGAGGATTTGGACTCTGGAAGACTTTTTTACCACATGACCAATCTCACTGCCTCAGAAGATCAGCTGCGGCTCTCATTGTTTACAACGGAGAGCAACTTGACAGAGCAGACGCTGAGCATCAGAGTGCAGCCTTTAGTGAGGGTTACACCGAACCTGCAAATCGCCAACGGGGTGGCTCACCGGCTTCGGAAAGAGGATCTGGATGCAACCGAACTTGCTAACAGGACTAGCAGTGACCCCACGTTTGAAGTGATACAGCCACCCACCCACGGGCGACTTGTTCGCAGTGCGCTTGACAGCCCTGTGGTGGAAGAGGTCACGCGGTTCACCCAGACAGACATCAACCAGGGGCAGCTGGTGCTTGAGCCGCATGCTAATCTAACGGGCACCTTTACCCAGAATGACTCCTTTACCTTCTCGCTCAGGGCAGACCGTGTGCAGCCAGCAACAGGTTATCTGGCCTTCACCATAGTGCCACCAGACCCCTTACCTTTACAAACATTTACGCCAGGCGTGCCTTTGTTTGTCACTGGAGAGAACCCTGTGGCCTCCGTTTGCCCTCAGAAACAACTTACAGCTTCTGTTTTAACACAGACAGAGGCTCCAGGGAATCTGACCCAGAGCAAAGGGCAGGGGACAGATTCCTGGGGACAGGTCGGTGGCAAAGAGCCAACTGTAGGTGGCAAGGTCTCCCCCACTAAGGTCATTTGGCCATATGCCGCCACCGAAGTCCTTTCTGGGGGGGGCACGCAGCCTGGAGAGAGCAGTTTCCTGCTGATGGTCGCCCTCCCCTTGGCTGCTGTGTTCTTCCTCCTGACAGTGACTGCGGTGGCCCTGTGTGTTTGGCTGCTGAGCCGAAAGGAGAACAAACCTAAACCTCTTCTCCAGCCGAAGACCAGCCTCGAATCCCCATTGCCAAGCTGTAGAGCAGAGAGGATTGGAGCCATCCCCACCGTCAGGGTGACACCCCTTATGAGAAACTCCAGATGCCCTGCTACCAGTCTGTTTAGGCCTCAAGCCTACGATCAGGCTCCCTCTCTGGGGGTAGAGCCTATAGAGAAATGCGCTGCCTGGGAGGCTTGGGTGAACCTGGATCCTGACATGGCCGAGCTCTGTCGGCAAACCAACCCAGCACTGAAACACAACCAGTACTGGGTATAAACGGGGAACCCCACCTCCCACCCCACCTCACCCTCGTCCTCCCTCCCTCCTTCTCTTCTCCTTCACCTCTCTCCTCTCCCCCGTTTCTCTCCCTCTCTTCCCTCTACTTCTCCCACCTTCCCCCCATCTCTGTCTTTCCTTGCTCTTATTGACCACTTACTGTGTATAGGTACTGAGCACGGCACTGGGCTATTCTGATGGAGTCATGCAGATTGGATCCAAGTCTGCCCCTTGTAATGCACCTGGCTCAGTCAGCGGTGCTGTGGGTGAGCTGAGCACTGTAACTCATGGTCCCAGATTGTGTCCCCTTTTCTGGATCTGGCTTTCTCCACACATGCGCTTCTGTTAAAATTAAACTGCAAACCAGGCGCTGCAGCTATAATCCCAGCTCTGGGAAGCAGAGGCAGGCAGACCTCTGTGAGTTCAAGGCCAGCCCGCTCTACAAAGGGAGTCCAGGAAAGCCAGGGAAACCCTGTCTCTGAAAATCAAAAACCAAACCAAAACAAAAAAAAGAATTAACTGCACTAAGGTACTACTTAGCACCGGGGCCAGATTGGAAGCAGTGCATTGACTTGGGGCTTGGAGTTAAAGGAGGAAGGTTTGGGTGCTTCTCATGGAAGATTTACTCTCAGTGAGTCAGCAGGAAGTGCCAATTCTGTCTCTGCAAATGTCACTTACCAGTGAGTTTGTTTATATGATACTTATAGATCATCCTTCTCTTCTGGGAACTCTTCTTTGGTTGGTTGCCTTGTTCTGATAGCGGGGCAAACTGACCTCCTTTGAGAATATTCATTAAATACATTGTATTTCCTCAAGAAACATTGTCTGTTCTGATCTGTAAAATCAAGAAATATTATATGAAGCTCTGAGGGATAGAAAGGTGTGTTAAAATTTTGTTATTATTTTTAATTTTTTTTGATGCCTTCATTTGGCACCCTTTTACAATAAGTTGAACTAATGACAAATTTGTATTTGAATTGTCTGCTTGAGTCTTTGGCCAAGATTAATTTCTGCAACTGTAAAATGAAGCTTTTAGTATTTACATTAAGAAAGCCTTGAGCTGCAAAGTGCAGTATACCCACAAATGATTTAGATTGAGGTAGGCACAAATGAGTCACATTTTCCTGTGAAGAGTAAAATAGTAAAGGTTTTAGGTTTGCAGACCACACATGGTCTCTGTCATTTATTTTTCTCTTTTGTTCTTCTTTCTTGAAACAAAGTTTGTTTTAAGAAAGTGTAAAAAACAAAACAAAACAAAAATCCCAAAACCTTAGCTCTTGAATTTGGCCCACACATTATGTAATTTGCCAGCCTTTGGTTTAGGCAATAGAAGTGTATTGAATTATGTCAATTAGTGAACCTTCTGTATCCAACCTTTCAAAGCTGGCTCTGGGACTTATTATTATCAAGGGCAGAAGCTGTTTTGTCCTTTCTGCCCTGTGGTCCTCAGGCTGTTGGTGATTATGATTATGGCTGCCAAAATGTCCAGCAGAGTGAACGTACCCAAGGCAGAATCACACAGCATGGTGGCTTCTTGGTAGAGAGACTCTAACAGGAGTATATGTATTAGTTATTTATTATCATAAGGAGACTTTCTCCCCATTTTACTTGCTTTTATCTCTTATTGTCTAAACCAGGGAACATCCTTTCTATCCTTCCACCAACCACCAGTGGAAGGAATGGGACCTCAGGACTGATGGTGTCTGCTGAGGTCAGTGATCTGCCCACTGTGGACTTGGAGGAGGTTGAAGGAATGGCTCTAGGTAGACAGTGATAGGGCCTATTGAAATACTCTTCAGGTACTGCAATCTCTGGAACTAAGATACTGCTTTTTTTCCAAATAGACAACCATCGCTTTTTCCTGTTGAATGGTTTTCTTAAAGCTGGAGCCCATGTTACAGGGATAAGAATATCACTTTTTATCCTTTTTTCAGTTTTAGGATAGAAGTTCTGGGTCTAGGAGTCCCGACAGACAGAGCTCTGCCACTTGTCCCAGCACAGCAACCTAAGAGGTTAATAGAGCTGGGCGCGGTGCTGCATGCCCGCTGTGCCAGCATGTGGAAGGCAGAGGCGGGAAGATCACTGCAATTTTGAGGCCAGCCTGGGCTACATGACAAATTTTAGGCCAGCTTGTGATATAGAGCAACAATAACAACAATAATGAAACAAAGAAAAAGGAGAGAGTAGCCAGATGAGACCTGGGAAGATTTAATCAGCATGGCCTGAGTGGGGAGAGCAGGTAAAAGCGCTGGGTCATACAGAAAGAAGCGTGAAAAAGCAGCCTTGCTTGAAGTGTGGTCTGGTCGGTCAGGAGCTGCTGCCAAGACATTCTTACTGCCTGAGGGGGCTATGTGCTTCCCAGGAGATGACTGCTCCTGCTGGAGGCTGCTGTCAGGGAATGTTCTGTCAGCAGAGGCCTGTTGTTCCTGGAATGCAAGGGGCACTGCAGGTTTAAGACATCTTCTTGGGACATTGTAAAAAGTTGACCGTGTGGCCTCTAGGCTTTGATCTCTGTGAGTTCAATGCAAGCCAGGACTACATAGTGAGGCCCTGTCTAAAACAGCGTCCCCTAAGCTCTCTTATGTGCCTTCGGCCTCTAAGGGGAGAGAGATGGGGAAAGTGTCACCGGCATGCCTAGATGCAGACTTATGCAGGAATCTGACCCACAGTCCTAAACTAGAGGGTAGATGCAAAATGAAAAAGGGCGGGTGGCAAACCTACCTGTGAGCCCGAGGAAGGGGTCAGCACTCTGAGTTCCCATTACAGAATGATGGGCTGTAAACAGGTACGTGTGAGGGGAAAGGCACTCCGCAGAGCCTCTGGCAGTGATTGAGAGAGGAGGGTGCCTTTTGCATTTAATCAGTAGGCCAAGGGTGCCGCCATTGCCAAACGTTCAACACACCCCTACCCCAGACAACCCTCGGCAATCACTTCACTCCCAGAGGTCGGCATTGTTGAGGCTGAGAGACACCAGATAAGTCCTCGTGAATAGCTTCTGGTGTACCCAACAAAGGGTTAATAGACTTGTTACTCAGTCTAGGCAGAAGGGGCACTGTGAAGACAGAATGGAGGGTGAAGATGCCGCACTGTGTTTGAGACTCTGGCTAATGGCATGGATGGACATTCCTTCTTCAAGGATGTATTCAAAACTGGACAAAACCCAGCAGGCAAATCATTTCTATTCATTCTTTGTTTAAAGAAAAATATACCTTTTAGGGTGGGGTGGGGGCAGGGCGGGAGGGAATCACAAGGTAAAGGTCAGGTCCAGAATGCCCAGAAGAGCCTATTGCATCTTATATACTTCTTATGGGAAATGCTTTTGGTCTCATCTTCCCTCTGTTCCTCAAAGGGTCACTTCCCTCCCAGCCCAATTCTGACTGCTCTTTCGGAAACAATTTCACAGTCTACAGACCAAATGGCAGCATGGCACATTCGGGCATAGAGACAACCACTTATGTCTTAGTTCCATCCTGGCCTTTTATTGCCGGCCATGGAAACTAACGTTACTGGAGCAGTTAAGGTCAGAGCCTTGGCCTTGGCAAGTCCTGACAAGTGGGGGCTATGCCACCTGCCCTCAGCAGGCCAATTAAAGACACAGAGTAATAGAAAAAGGCAGAAAAAGATGTATTCAATGTGGCCACGTTGGGAAGGGAAACAAGGAGGCTGGTGATGTCACAAGTTTGTCTTCTAGGTCCTTGGCTTAAACAGAAGCCAAGAGCTACCACTCTGCACTGACCCTCCCCCGACCCCGCCACAGTTTCTGAGACCCATCTCTCGTGCAATTAGTCTGACAGGTTGTCAGAACAATAAGGAATCCCTGGCAGGGAGGCTTCTGTCTGGCTGGCACCAGATTTAGCCTTTTCCGTTTCCCAGCATGAGTTTCCTGGGTAAATGTCTAATTGCTGGGGATGTGTTGTTTAAAAGGAGGGACCCAAGTGTCTCCTTGCAATGTCTGCTCCTGCCAGGGCTGTTAAACTAAAGCTGAAAAATCGTTTCTCCACTCCCCTTCTAAGACTGCTTCCCTCCGGCGTTTCCATATTTCTCACTCAAAGATTGCCCCTTCCTTGCATTTTAGTTTTAGGGTACAGACAGGCTGAGCGTCTTCACCTAGTGTCGGTTTGATCTAGATGTAACTCACAGTTGTTCTTAGCCCTGGTCTGACCCAAGCCCCCAGAGCAGTCCGCCGCATGCAGTACACCCAAGGCAGAGGGTGAAGACCATCATCTGTTATGTGGGTTCCTCTCTCCCTTGACTGGTCAATTCCTGCTCTTTGTGGACCAGCCAGCTGTCCTTGACTCACCGAGCCTGTTGGCCGCTGCTGTGGCTCAGCCGTAAGCTCTCTGGAACTAGGACTGCCAAGCTGGCCAAACACAGGGTCTGCGCCTCAACATTTTCCTGCTAATCTTGCAACTCCAAACAAAGACGGTTCGTGTCCATACTGGAAAGATTTAAAGCAGTAACTCATATCCTCATTTGCAAGTATGCCCTGCTAGAGCCAGGACAGACAACGGGAGATCCAAATGTCAAAGCTCATTGATTAAGCAAGTAATTAACACAGAGTTTGGGAAGTTTCCTCTTCCTTTCCAGAGGCACTGGAATAGTCTGGTTTGCAGATGGAGTCAATTAAAAGGAAACAATGTCTACCATTTGGTGCTGGCTCAGAGAAAGCATAAAATAAAAAAATTCTGACAAAGCCTCGTTCAACATTGAAAACTAAAGCTCTGTGAATGGAAAGACAGTTGAAATGGCTCCCCCCAAAGGAGGGGCTGTAACTGAACAATTTAAACTCTTGTCATGCTGAGTCTCACATTTCTCAACAAGTGTCTGGGAAGATAGTAAATATATACTGGAGGTGAAGAGGAGAAGAATGGCTGTTTGGTGATTTTTTTTTAAAGAATCACAGAGGAGTTCTAGGGTACAAGGGGAGACTTGAAAACTGGACCAAAAGATACAGAGCTGAGGGAAGGGTGTGGGACCACATTGGAAGGGCTCAGAGGTGTGCACTGCCCAAGGACTTGTTACCCTAATTCTGCAGGGAGTTGGGCCTGTGATTTTTCTGTTTTGTTGTGTCTTTAACTGGTTTAGCAGTGTGATGCTGGCTTTAAACCATTTAGGAATGTTCTAGTTTATGGAATAGTTTGGGAAGCTTCGGCTTCAGTGATTCTTTAAAGTTTTGCTAGAATTCTGCAGTAAACCCATTTGGGCCTGTACCATTTTTTGGTTGAGTACTTTTTATTATTGCTGTTAACTTTGGTAAGTGAAACCATAAGGGATATAAATTTGTCATATATATTAAAAAAAATTCCTCCATTTTAGATTTCCAACTTAGTAAAATAAAGGCTTTGGAAGTATGTTTTTACAGTCCTCTGGATTGCAGTGATGTCTGTTCTAAACCTCAGTTTCCATCTCTTCTTTTCTTATTCCAAGTCTTCTGTCTCTTCCTCTTGGTTAGTTTAGCTAAAGGTCTGTCAGTCTTGTTAATCTTTAAAAAGAAAACAACAACAACAACAAAAAAAAACCCTCCTCATTTCATTTTTTTGGTCTTGTTTTTCCAAGGCTTGCAGGTAAATAATTATTAATTTGGATAATCCTCAAATTCTGGATTGGGCACTTAACGCTGTAAATGTCCCTCTCAAGATTGCCTTCATTGTGCCCCATAGATTTTTGCTATGTTGTGTTTCATTTTCTTTCAATTCTAGGAATTTTTGAATTTTTAAATTTCCTTTTTATTCTTCCTTGAACTAATTATCATTAAGTACTGTGTGTGTGTTTTAATTCCCATGAGTTTGTATATTTTACATAGTTGCT